AGTAAGGTACCAAAAGAGTTTTAAGACTTACCTTGTTCATCCTGATATCTCGTAGGAGGATTCATTTCTAGTCAAGATAGAAAAACAAAAAGTAATATAGGAATATAAGCACAAAATTACCCTTCGAGGTAACTGATTTGAGAGGAATGGTATTTTCATATCTAGAGTCAAAGCATATTTATATATTCGTTGGTGTGATATTCTTTAAAGAAATTACGTAGAGAAGTCCTCCATAGAGTAATTTTTTATTACCGTCTTTACAATCGTAAAACCCGTCACACCCTATTTACCTCACAATCTGAATCTTACTAGCAACCAGAATAAACCAATATYTTAATGCTTTTCTCATTGGAACATAACAGCATTAACGCTTACCTTATAAGGACATCAAACGTCATATCGGCCGCTCCCACTGTTCAGCTATTGACTTAATCAAAGAATAGAGAACCACTTTATTAGTTACGTAAATGCTTTACGGATCCTAGAATAAAAACGTTATCTTATTATAAAAGGTCTTAGTAGTTTTTTGTATTGTTATTAACTTAAGTTATAAGAAAGGCAGCCTATAGGGCTGATGTTATCGTTGTTGTTGTTGTTTCTTCTGTTCTGTTCTGTTCTGTTCTGTTCTGTTCTGTTCTGCTGATCTAAGTCAGGACAAGGAATAGAAAAAAACTGTTTTTTTTCTAAATTTTTCCTCTTGTTTTGCGATTTTTTTATTATTTAACAATCCCTTTTCCCTTGCTCGCACTTGGATGACGTAGGCCGTACGTCAGGATATATATAGAAATACCGCCCGTCGCGCCGCTAATCAGAACACACGATTTTTAGCTAAAAATGGAATTATCTTTTTTTCTTACTCGGCCAATAAACCTAAGTCCAAAAAGGCGCACAGCAGAATGAAAACAAATTTACAGTATTTTCTTACAATTTGATGCCGCAAGATTGTTGTGCTCGTGAATGTAAGAAGAAAAGAACAAGTGAACAAGTGTATACTTTGCATTGACAAATATTATTGCATTTGGCCATGGATGTCTCGTTTTCATGCACCTCACTAAGCCGGGCGCCATTTTGAACTTAGGTGTATASATGTAAGATTTCCTTCTAAACATTTAATCAGTATTAATTCATAATTTGATATGTTATTTAATTTTTATTYTAATTTAAATGTCAGTAATGTTCTCAAGACATCTTATCCTCTATTTTGAAGTTGTGAACTGAAATTTGAATTTTTTTTGTTTTTTACCGATCGAAGTGTTGATTATGACGTCACTTGGAGACACTTGGMCAACGTTTGCACATGTGCGTCGGGTTTCATGTCATTCAGAAGGTTTTTCCTACGAGAGAAGAAAAATATTCATTTTATCAATTTGTTTATGACGTCACTTGGACAAAGTTTGCACATGCGCGTCGGGTTTTATGTCATTCAGAAGGATTTTCCTACTAGAGAAGAAAAATATTCATTTTATTAATTTGTTTATGACGTCACTTGGATACACTGGGACAACGTTTGCACATGCGCGTCGGGTTTTACGTCATTCAGAATGATTTTCCTACGAGAGAAGAAAAATATTCGTTTTATTAATTTGTTTATGACGTCACTTGGATACATTTTGACATCGTTTGCGCATGCGCCTCCGGTTTTATGTCATTCAGAAGGATTTTCCTACGAGAGAAGAAATATATTCGTTTTATTAATTTGTTTATGACGTCACTTGGATACACTGGGACAACGTTTGCACATGCGCGTCGGGTTTTATGTCATTCAGAAGGATTTTCCTACGAGA